AAGAAACCCTGTCCCGGAGCCCCACGCCGGGGGAGGCTCGCAGCCAGCCAGGGCGGGCGAGCGGTACCCGGAGGGGATGCCAGGCGTGGGAAGGGAGGAGGATGTCACGAGGAAGCAGCTGAAGATGCAGGCTCTAGGGAAACTGGAGCAGCTCCAGCATTCCCCAAGCACAGGCTCTTGGCAGGACCGGCAGACCGAACAACCGGCAGAAAACACCCCCAAAGAAAATCCAGCGGGCTGTGGCAGCAGCCCTCACGAGCAAGCCAGGAGCTACTGTGGCGCGGGGGTTAGGAAGCAAAGCGGAAAGCGAGCACGTACCTGAAGCACAAAACCAGAGCGTGCTGGGCTCTCCTGCTAAACCTGCATCCAGAGCAAACCGCCTCCCTGCCGGGCATGGATTCAGCGGGAGGCTGGGAGGCCACGGCTGGGAATTGGCTTAGGGACCTGGCCACGGCTGCCACGCTTCTCGGCTCGCTGAGCTCCAGGTTAATCTCGGCCCAGCTTTCCCTTTTATCCCCTGGTACAACCTCGATACATTTTTTCAATTAGGTCCATCTTTTAAGCTCCGGAGCGCATTTCTAGGAAGGGCTGCGTTGTTTCTCATGGCCCTCGTGGGCTGATGCTGCGCAGACCGGGACATCCCTGGCACCGGTCCTGCCCGCATCCAGCTAAAGTGCTGCCACGCTGCAGCCGGTGCGGCGCTGCCTGGAAGCACTCAGGGAGTTACCCGTTACCCCCAGCCCACCTACCGGGTACTTTTAAAAGCAGCGTTCCCTGTCTGCCTCATCACAGCTCCGGCAGATTGCAAAGCGCCAAGCTCGCCACGCAGCAGCACAGACCGCTTTCACCTTTCGTGCGGTCCCGTTATTAGAAACCCCAGCCAGCAACCGGCCTCCATCCTCTCCGACTCTGCGCCCGCCGCCTTTTGCAGGGCGACGGCTGAAAACCAAAAGGAAAATAACATGCAGCTAGGGTGTACTTTTGGAGGAGAAGGCTGGGTGAAAGTGTGGTCTAAAAGCGACAGTAAAAAATGAAAAATAAATCGATAAAGTCCTCCGCGGATACTTCGGCAGAGTGAAATCGCTGCCTGCTGTGGGAGGGCTGGTTGCAGGGCGATGGGTAAAGCAAACGCGGAGTTTGCAGCGCAGGAGTACGATGCGTTTAGATGTTTAACCCGAGTCGTGAGTAACGGAGCCTGGGCAGGATGGGAAGGAAGCAGCTTGCCCAGCCCGGTCTGCCCGATCCCGACCAGCTCACTCGGCTCCTACAGGCAAGGGTGGGCGACCCAGCTCCGCTCCAGGAGCTGAATTAAAACACAGGCTACAAGCGCGGCTCACAAATGCACGCTGAGCGCATTTCCCCTTGAGGCCATTTTCCAAGCTGCAGTCAACCGCAAGTCCACCCCACTAACAACCTCCTCCATTAGCATTCGTGTGCTCTTTCCGTATCGGTAATGCCCTCCGCCCGAGCATCTTGAGACATTTTACAAATAGCAGCAGCAGCAGAGTGCAGCGATTAGGCCTCTAGCCAGGGAGCAAAGAGACCCGGGTTTGCTTCCTGCATCTGTCACTGTCACCTCTCCTCGGCGTGCATCTCTGCCACTTAGAGAAGAAATTCTTGGGGGCGGGGGGCCATCTCCACAGCGCCATGCGGAGTGGGGCCGGGCTCTGCACATCTGTCTGCCCCCGGCTCCAGCTGTGCCGGGAGAAGAGGCTGCAGCTCCTCCATCCTGCCGGCTGAGCTGCTCGTCTGCTTCCTGCATCCACATCAGCTCCAATGAGCTCAAACAGGTTACGTGGCAGGTCTTTGCTCGTTTTCACGCTGACACAGGCTAGGGAACATCCCCGAGCAGCTCAGCTGGCAGATGGGAGGGGGGAAGGAGGAAAAACTCCAGCAGCAGGCTGCTTCACTTGCTGAATGAAGGAAAAAAAAGCCCAAAGCCCTCAAACACACAGAGCAACCACCTCAGAGAGAATACGGAACCAGAGACGTACAGAGATATCTCTCATGTATGTGAGCACACAATCAAAGACACCCCTTGGCTCTTGCCACCCATCTCCTCTTCGCACTCATGATGCCGCACAAGCCAGGAGGAGCAGGGACTGTTCCCGATGTGCATCTAGCCCCAAACACCCACCGGTTCTCCATGCAATTTTAAGGCAGTCTCATTTCTCGGTAAAAATAATGCCTAAAGCCCC